GAAGCTACAGTGTTTGTATGTATATATTGAGACATCTTCAGTTACTAGTTACCTAAAAGTGGTGAAATGTTTTATTTTCAAATGCTTACTCCTCCATGTGTTATTATTTAAAATAAGAGACTGTTATTATTCCTCTCACTTTTAGACAGTTGCTGTATCTTGGTAACAAGAAAAAGGAATATACAGAAAATAATTATTTTCACTAAGAGTTGATTTTAACAGTTTGGTAGGGTAATTTGATGATGATGAGGGACTGTCAATAATATTTTAAAATATTTCACAACTTAGAAGTGATATTTCCATCCTACATTTTAAGCAGAGGTTTTATAAAATGTGAAAGGTCTGACTTTACTCACAAATTATTTTGTGTAGGAAGGTAAAAATCACCACAGAAAAAGGAAGAAGGCAGATCGAGGTGATGGACCTTTATCGTCAGAATCTGTATCTGAATCGGATCAGATAGAGGAGGTCAGTGTGAATCTTCAGGTTCAGATGTTACAGTGCTTGTAGCTTACTGATTCATGAACAAATGAATGAACTAGCTTAGATTTAATACATTGTTAAAACTGTTCTGCACTCTACAGGTGAATTGAAGAGTGCAGTGTATTTTTCCTTTTAAAATATACTTTTAAGGATTGTTTAATCTAGCTTCTATCATCTACAAATAATTTTGAGTTAATTTTCTTGAGAATCAACTTCTTATGGATACTACATTGGTTTAATTTTCTTTAGGTGCAAGCAAAAAAGAAGAAAAGCAATGAGGAAAAAGAAAAAACAGCAAGTATCCCTTTTACTCATGCTGTAGTTTTAGGATATAAATACTGTGTACTTGGTTAATTTCCAGTTTCACGTTTTTCAGTAATACAAGTGTTTAATAACAATAGTATACTGTTACATCTAAATTAACAGTTTCTCTATTTACTTGCTGAAGTCACTTTTTAAGTTGTTGAATTAAAGAAGAATTTGTCACTCTTATCTGTATGTGATTTGAGATTTATACAACTTTAACACTTACTGTAGAATATATTTTGTTCTGTATCAATGGCCTAGAACTACTTGTATCTGTGTGGTACCAAGTTTATCACAGAGACATCAGGGCTGTTCCTTCATTAGGATTGTGTGTAATTCCTTGATAAGCCTTCTCTGCCACCATGGAAAGGGCCTTAGGACATAATTGCTGCAACATCTATGCCATTATAACTCTTCCCCCAACCAAATTTAAAGCTGCCAGCAACCTGTTACTTTTCTCAATATTTTTTATTTGTATCTGTTGGTAAAAATGAGAGGAAGCTCCAGCAGTGATTATATGGAATCCAGATTTACCACATATATCTGAGGTTCCGCAGTTAGGAGTACAGTGGTTTGGGGTCCTGAATGCCCACTTGAGATGTCTTTGTATCTGTGACCCCTGTCAGTAGCAGTGTTCCTTATCAGGCATGTCAGTTGTCCACAAGGTAGGGCAAAGGGAAGGTCTACATTAGTCACCTAAAAATAGAGCATAGGAGTATCAGTGATACTCTGTACACATTTTTCCGTGGAACTTGTTTTTTTCAGATTCATATGAACTGTTTGCCATAACATTTCTAGTGATTGTATATGGACTTCTTCATAGACGATTTTTATGTGTAAAGAATATGTATAAAGCAAAGCTTTAATACTGGTTATTTTGTTTACATAATGCCACACCTATTTGAGAATTTCAGCTGAAATTCTGCTTGCAAAAAGACAAGATTGCATCTCTTAGCTTCTGTATTACAATGTCGAGCATGCTACCTTCAGGACTGAATCCAGTAGGGTTAATTTGAGTGTATTTCTATTTACAGTTGAGATTATAATTTATTTTAATAAAGGTACAAGTGATAGTCTTGCCAAGTGCAGTTGAGCTATTTAATTTTACACAGTGAATTTAAGAGCTTGCTTTAAAATCTGTAAACATCCTAGTTATTCCCAAATACGTCACTACTGGTCAGAGCACTTCCTTAGTACTTTCTCAGTAATCTGAAATGTTCTGAAAATAATTTAAAATATTAGGAAATGTAATAATGACAGCAATGAGAGGTGTGAAATAGCCATACCATTGTGGAGATAAATTTAAATTGAAGACTGCTCATAATAGTGCAAATTTCCGGGTAAAGTATTTCTTTTTGTATTTTCTCAGTAGGCTTCTGTAGGAATCTTTTGAAATGTCTTTCAAAAGATATCCTTTTTGTGTTCTCATTTTGCATTAGCAGAATGCAATAGATGGCAACTGTATTATACAATAATTTCCTTTTTATTTTTTTTAGGATAAAACAAAAAAGAGAAAGAAGCACAAGAAACATGGTAAAAAGAAGAAAAAGAAGACTGCTGGTTCAAATTCTGATTCAGAATAATATTTTAAAACAACCTGAGACTATCAACAGAAGTGCAATGACTAAAGGAAACTTAAACTGTGAAATGACAGCAAACTTTACCAAACTGCATGAGTTTTCCTGTGTTTTAGAAATACTCCTAATCTTTCAGTAGCCAGCCAGATACAGCTGTGCTGGGAAAGACCATTGTTATTGCCTGCTGCTTAATACATGAGGTACAACTTTTATAAAATTCCAGTAAGCAGTGTTAGATGTTTGAGACAATATCAGATGGTAGGCCAGCTGAGGTGTAAAATATTGAAAAATAAGAGTTAAACTTCTTAAATAGTAAAAATAGTCTTTTAAAGCATTAGTAATAGTCTTTATTTGTAAATCAGGACAAATTAAATCCCAAGTTCATCCTGCAGGTTAATATTATGCATAAACTACTACAAGCTGGTGTCTGCTAATGGAAAATGAATGATAACATTGAAAAGGCTGCCTTTGTAGAAATGTGTATCATCTGCCCCGTTACTCTCTCCATGCTTATGAGAAAGGGAATGCTACCATTTTGGCTACCTGAATAGGGTGCCTTTGCCTTTGATTCTTGCAAATCTCTGCTACTTTTAATCCATGCATCTCTGCATTCCTGGGAAGCTAGAGCTATTGTCAGCAGACTTTTCTGAATGAGCAGTTTTGAGCTTCCAAGCATGTGCTTCTGCATTAAGCAAGAGCAATGACATTTTGCAGTATAACTGACAGTCAAAACCTGAAGATTTTACCTCTGCTTTTTTGAAATAGCGATAGACTTTTGCTAGTAAATACGCGTATTTCATTTAATGTAATTTTGGTTTAATTGAAAACTTCTTGCAAACACTGGTAGCTTTTTTGCATTAACTTTAGAATTGTTTTGCATGATTTGTACCATTTTTAAATTAACAAAATGCAGGTAATCATTTGTTGTAACCAGTTCTATGAATTACATTTCACATGCAGATTTTCATGTATGTATTTAGTTATAGTTAAGTTCATTGCTGTGTTTAAGTGCACACTTGCTGAAGTTATTTAGCATGTAAAAAGCAGGGTTTTGATACCTTAACAGCTTCATATTGAAGCTGATTTTACTCTAAGCAAGTTCAGTGGCAGATCTATGTGACGTGTCTTGTTAGATAAAAAAAACTACTGCCAGAATCTCATTAAAGATACTGTTTAAACAGTTTGTATTTATATTTTTGTACTTGAGGGCTACAGAATGTTGACCTAAGTCATAAAGCTGTTTTACTTTAGTTTAGTTGCTTTAGATAACTGAAAAAAAGCTTTTTTAAATTAAATGTGCCCACAAGGAAACACGAGCAACCATTTGATTTTAGTTTACATTAAATTCTCACTTCATCTTCCATTGAAGTACTGATTGTTGGGCCTTCTGTTAGCCTTTAACAGATGCCCATCCATCCCAGGTAGTCAAATATAGATTGTATTTTTGATCTACCCCTTTTTTCCATTGCACAGGTGCTAACTTAGAACTTACCTCTATTGCATACAGATGTTTCAAATGTTGTGTTCCCAAAAATTTCAGGACTTTTAAGACATTGATTATTAGTCAGCAAACCATAATTAAAATCTGTAGGAGAAAGATAATTTCATATTTCCATTGTGCTGAGAAATTGTCTTCAAGTTCTTGGGAAAATACAATAATTGAGTTCCAGCAATGTGCATCTAAACAATAGTAATATTTTCATCAACTATTTTATACTCTTGGATTTGATGTTACCAATTCTAGACGCTCTTGTCAGGTTAAAATAAAGGTGATATGCAGTGAACAGAGGGGTTTGATTTGGGGTTTATGTTTAGTTTTGTTGGGGTTGTTTTCTTTTTAAGTTGCGGTGTTGCAGTTTTGGTAAACGAACCTGTAATGAACCATAGTATAAATGCTTTGTCCTGTGTGATACCTTATCTGACTTTTACACAACCACCTGCCACAGAAAGAAATAAAAATGGAAATGAGACCCAGTCTTCCAAATACCTAAGCCGGTATGTCGTTTTAATTGTGTGACTGTAACTATCTGTTCTGCTCAGCTGAGTGCTGCTGTCATGCTTGGGAAGGGTGTAGCCGCTCAAGGGGCTTATGAGCTTTGTCTGTTCCCAAAAAAGCTGCTTTACTACTGAAAGGGAGCTGCTTCAGTGTGAAATACCTTAACAAATACGTTGAGTCTGCTCTTGCATGCCCTTTTCCTGAAGGAAAGGTGGAGGTTGCTCCCAGCCCTTCAGCTTTCCCGGTGTGCCCACGCCGTGGTCGTGAGACAGTGACCGGGGTTTTGGGTGGCACCTACATCCACGTTCCAAATTTCAGCAGAGGGACAAAGCAGAAAACGAACCATGTCGGAAGAAGAGTGGCTTAATATGTTTTTGCCTTCTGATAGGAGATGAACAATCGCTATTTTATGTTGTATTCCACTTTTAGGTCTTTTTTTCCCCACAAATATTTTTAGAAATTTGAAATGCAGTTATTTTATTTTTTACGACTGCAGTTTTTTTGAATGCGCGTTAGGACGTGATGTCTGTTTGGCCCTTGTGTGTGTTTATGTCCGGCCCGCCCGCGCGGCCCAGCGAGGCCGAGGCCGCCGCCCCGCGTTGCCAGGGCAGCGGCGGCGGGAGCGGCTCCCGGGCGCCATGAGCAGGAAGGGGGTGAAGGCCCTGGTGGACTCGCTGACCCGATCCGACAAGCACTGTGAGTCTCCCCCGGGCGGCTGGAGCCGCGCCGCTGCCGCCCGGCCGCTCCCCGTTTTTCCCGTGCTCATCCTCTGTGGCCCTGTTCGCCTCCCATGGGAGGCACTTTCCCGGCTCTCCCTTGGGAACAGCGGCGGGGGCGGGGGGGCGGTATCGGTTTCACGGCCCTGGTGTGTCCCAGTGCTCGCCTCGTATTTTACCAGCTTAACTTATAAACTGTATTTGCTTGTGTTTGGGCCGGGCAGTTAACAAAAGCGAAGTGGAATGTCTGGTCAAGCTCTTCGATACTCTGGTGGCCAGGGCCAGCAGTGACTATGCTGGGACCGGCTTCGACCGCACCATGTTCCGGGACACCCTGCACAGCGCCTTCGGCATGACGGATGACGTGGTGCTGGACCGAGGTGAGATCCAGCGGGCACCCGGCTCTGAACGCCGTGCAAGGGGTTGGGATGGCGCTGCCGACCCCACGAGTGTGTCCGTACCAAACAGCGCCGTCTCGTCCTGCCCAGGACAGCAAAGGAGGAGTAATGCTCGGGAGCTGTTCAGAAAATGGCATCTTTTCTTTCTTTATGGGGTACAGTTTTCCCTTAGTTCAGGAGAGCTCACTCTCTAGCTCGAGGCAGACCAGCCAGAAGCAGCTGCTCTGCCCTGTAGGTGTTCCTGTCGCAGCCGCTGTAGTGTCGTGACAGAAGAGGGCAGCGTCACTTACCTCTTTTCTCCGGTGGTTCCACCGGGAGCTGCTGTCGCTGCTGGGCGACAGCTGTAGCTCAGGCTGGGAAGTCCCAGGAAGGCATTCTTTTACAGCGGGTACCTTTGGGAATAGAGGCTCTGTAAACAGCACTGAAGGCTCTGGGCAGATAGTACGAGGAGGTGAGAGTAATGAGCCAAGTAACCCCTTGAAAATACAGTGATTTCACAGATTGGTAACAAGGGACATGTTTGCAGTCACTGAAAGCTGAAGGAATGATCTCTGATGCAGAGGTGTCTAGAGGAGTATGCAGAGCAGGCATGAGTCTGCCGTTCTTTCAGTCTTGGGTTCAACTTTTGAACTTTTGAACCCAAGTTGAACCAACATTTGGTTCAACTTTCTCCATGCCTCTAGCAGAGAGCTACTTACATGCCATAAAATAAAAACTTGTTGCAATTTTATGCAGCAAGTCAAGTGTGTCTTGGAAGATACCTCACATTACCTTACACATTCTTAAAAATTAATGATTACATGCAAAGGGGCCGATTTCAGTTTGCAAAAGCAAACCTATTGTCTTCTAAGTCAAAAATGCTTGGCTCTGCATGGAGAGGTGTTCCTTCAGCCAACTTACTAATTAATAATATAAAATACAAATTATTATAGATAATAGTGGATGCTTTGTATTCCATCTTGGATTTGAATTATTTATATTACAGGCTGTATGAATAGTGAAGCTGTGAGATTGAAAGTTGCTTAGGGAAGGGAAAAGAAAAATATTTTGTTACATGACAGACAGGAGGTTACTTTTCTCTGTATATTTAATATATATTGTTTATAGGTTTACTTTGTTCAAGATTTTCCAAGACAAAAACCTAGTAATTTAAATCTTAATCAGTATGCAGAATTATCCATTAAGGGATATTGGTTTATTTGCTTTACATCTGCATAGAAGCATACTTCTTGTAATTGTTTAAGTTAGGAAGGCAACAGATCAAACAAAATCTTACCAGACAGGATCCTGGAGTGGAAGATCAGTAAACTGAGGGGCAGAATCACTTTCAGTGTTACATCTTAGAGTCAAGAACGGAAATCTTACCTTGGTGAAAGCAGACAAACATCTTAAGAAGAAAGATAATTTATAATTTTACTGAATTTAAGAAAACATTCCTTATTTGTGTTTCCCTATCATATAAATTTAAAATGTGTCTAATACACTCCCTAGTGTTCAGCATTTTCGATAGAGACAACGATGGCTCCATCACTGTGGTGGAATGGGTGGAAGGCTTAGGAGTGTTACTTCGGGGGACACTGGAAGAGAAGATGAAACGTAAGATTGATCTGTATGCTAATATTTAGTAGTGATTGAATTCATAACAAATAACACATTGCTTTTGTTATAATTTAGTAGTTTTTAAGTACTTGGTGATTGGAAAGTGTTCTTCTGTATAGTTTAATGCAATGAAACTGAGTTCTGAAATGGCTTCTCTGAGACAGTTTTTTTTTCTATGTAAACTGCTGTTACCACAGCCACCACCTTCTTTTGTTGCTTACAAAATCTTGCATTTAAACTGTAGTTTCTTCTACAGCTTACACTTTTGACAAAATACATGTTTTTGTATTCACACACAAAACTAGAAGCAGATGAATCTCTAGCATGGTTTCGGCTAATTAAGTCTCAAGCCAAGCAAGACCAGTGCCAACATTCATTTACTGGCACAGTGGGGACATAGTAGCAGTTGCATTAGCTCCAGCAGTTCTTCAGCTTGAAAGCATAGATAGAAAAACTCAAAGATGATAATGAGAACCTCCACAATAATGATAGAGAAAGATGGAAGAGAAAAAAATAGCAAGAACTCCAGAATTTTAAGCAGCAGGGAAAAAAATAGGGCACGTGAGGTGGAAAAAAAATAGAAAAAGGAGAATGACAGTATGTGGTTTCCATAGTTCCCAAGTTGCAGCGTTAGCCATCCCTATTGCATTATATAAATTCATCTGGAAAGTGGTCAGGGGTGTCACAGCATTAGGATGTGTGCCCAGATGTAATTCAGTGTGTCAGGACAACCACAAACAGTAAAATATGCATTACATAAAATATGTAAGCACTGTAGAAGATATTAGTGTAGAGATGCAGTGTGGTCTATCACAAGCGTTTGCCAGGAGTGTTTCAGCACATATATGATAAATTTGGCTCAATTGATAATGCTGTACAATGTACGGTTCACATTTTCTGTCCATAGGTAACAGCTTAAATGGTATGTGATTATTGTTTGTCAATCAAATTGAAATTTATTTGTATTTCACAAGTCTGCTTTACCATTTATGACCTGAATGGTGATGGATACATTTCGAAAGAGGAAATGTTTCAAATGCTGAAAAACAGCCTTCTCATACAACCAGCAGATGAAGAGCCTGATGAGGGAGTTAAGGACTTGGTAGAGATAGCACTGAAGAAAATGGCAAGTACTTACTTACTGTGATACTTGAGGGTCTTTCAAACATTCACTAACTGATACTTAAAACCTTTCTATGAGGTAACAAAATAAGGTGTCATATTTACAGTGGGATTCTTCTAGTCTTCTGAGGAAAGATAGATATATAATCCAGATCTAATGAGTCCCAGTCCGGTATTCTCATATGAAACTATTAATTTAGTATGTACTATAAACTTTATGTATAAATTTGCATGTGTATATGTGCATACATATCTGTGCATGCCCAGTCAAAGCAAAAGCCCAGTCAGAAGTAGAAAATTCCAAAGTGTAAGCTGCATTTATTCCATCAGTACAGGCATCTGCAGTAGCTTCATTTTTAAGTATATTTGTGTTTTATCAACTGATCATGAAATGTCTTTATCCAATTCATGTAATACTAAGCTCAAGGTTATTAATGTGAAGCTTGTTTTACAGTGCTTAATCTAGAATATCAGATCAGCCAGGGACTGTCTGTCAATCTTTTAATCAAATCAAGATATATATTCTCCCCTTCTATGGTGGTAGTCAAAATTTTTCACTTAAAACCAGGTCTTTCATCCCAACTCCTTTTATTTAAACCCATCTTTTCAATTTTTCAATCCCACCCTTTTTGCTTTAGGTAGAGGCAAGTCACATAAACCTTTTCTGAACAGAAACTGATGACCCCCCAATTTGCAAGTCAAACTAAAAGTAGAATCCATGTTCTTTAAACACATGTTAAACAAAACTACAAGTAGTAATCCTTTGATGAGGTGTTCCCTTCCTTTTGCAGGACCACGATCATGATGGCAAGCTTTCTTTTACGGACTTTGAAAAAACAGTCAGAGATGAAAACCTTCTCTTAGAAGCATTTGGACCATGCTTGCCAGACATAAAGGTACATAAACCTTGAGTTATAAAAAAACTGCACAAGCCAATTCCCTACAGACACTTGCACCAATCCTGTGAATGGCAGCATGGGGCATCTTAGGCCAATGTTGGGTTCATCCTCTCAGTGCCAGTTCTGCTGCCCAAAGGTGGCCCCTGAGCACTCCCACTGCAGGGTTGTTGCAACGCAATGCTGCAAATATTAATCTCATCACTAAGGGAAATTTCAGTCCTTTACATTGTCATCCCAGTCTCTAGTATTCCTGTTTCCATCCAGTTTATCTAATTCTGCAGCTGGGTCTTGCCCTCCATGCCAGATCATTCCTTGGTGCCACACTCCTACTGCTGTGCAGTTAAAATTTTAATTTCCCCTTCAACAATAACTTTAAATGTTCTGGCTGGTTTTCCAGTGATGACACCATTAATGCTATGGGTTTACCTTTTCTAAGCTAAAAAGCAAGAGACAGTCTTCACTGCATACACATTTCAATTAAATATCTTTCAGCTCAGTACCTTTTCTGACTAAATAGAATCCTTTTGTTAACTGAAAATTAACCTTTTTCCTCTCTTTTTTTTTTAACAGAGCAGTATCTCATTTGAACAGAAAATTTTCGGGGAAACTCCTAAATAGTTGTAACTATTGTAACTCCATTGCTGCATACTGTTAAAAGGGGTCTTCATCTTCACCGTTCTTCATGATATAGTAAAAATAGTTTAAAGTTGCTCCTAAGCTTCAGTATTCCTTTGCTGTCAAAGCTATTGAATAAATGAATTTTCTTCTGTAACTCTACCTAAATAGAGCTCTTTGTGAGTTACAAAATATGTTACAGTATGAGTTACACAAGACAACACTGCAAAAATAATACTGTATATTGGTTTTCTCATCCCCAGTAACAAACTGAAACAATTTTTAACAGAGAATTACTGGGAAATACGGTATAAAGAAAGTTTTATTTTTACATAAAAAATATATATTTTAAATTATATTCTTTAGAAAAGGACTATTGGAAGATGCTGCCAGCAGTATCTATATTCTTCTTCTCTGCTTTACAAGTGGTTTGGCTGAGCTGCTCTCTGGCTTTTCCACAGACGTTGAAACAGAATCTGCTACCTAAATTGGAGAGGAAAAAAATTAGTAACCTGTAACCATTACTTTTTAATGCTCATTTTAGAGTAAGGCTACATCTCCAAGATTTGAGTATTGGGAGGGATTTATTACTATCATCACACTTGTATTGAATTTTCCTGCTGACTAGAGGAAAGAAGTAACACCAAAGACAGCATTAACCACAAGAGAGGTGCAACTTAGAAGACTTAGAACTACCTTTTTTGTAGTACAAACAAAGAGATTTCAGTTTTTGTATTTAACTACACAAACTGATTTCAGATAGTCAGTGATATAGTATTACATATGTCATCTCCCTTCTTCCTAACAGAGGTGTTTTCAAGCAAGGTTTAATGTGCTTTATAAACTCAGGTATTTCAGGAAATGAAGAGAAAGCAGAAACGTGCATTTTGACATGTATTTTAGAAATGAATTTAATACAAAGGGTGCTTATTTATAAGATATGCACTTGCAAATCAATTTAGTTAGTCAAGGGAGCTTTTTCATATCTTAGTGTAAATGAAATGTTCTGTCAGGAATGTTTGACCTGCTAATTGATTCATAACCTCCATAAAATTATGTATAGCTTAACACATGCTTCTCAACATAGAATAGGTGACTCTGTACAGCTTTTAATGACATAAGAAATGTTGGAGCAAAATTACATTGAACTCTGACTTCATTATTTTCCTTTCAGAAAATAGATACAAGTAGCACACTGCAAAGTTATCATGCCTTCACATGTCAGGGAAAAAAAAAGTGGTTTACTAAAAATCATGTAAGATCATGCACTGACATTAACACTTTCTCAAGTGTAGTGTAAGAGGTCTGGAGTAGAATTGCCTGCAATATTCTAGATTGTGGAAAAGTTAAATAGTAAGAGCACTAGCTTTAAGTGGCAGATAAACTGATAGTAAGTAAATGCTGAATAAAGCTATCAGAGAGTCACTAATTTTATGGATAACAAGCACCTATGTTTGAACTATCAGAACTTTAAGAACCCATACCTCTTTCAGTTTATTTCGAATTAATGTAGCTGAAGTATTCAAAGACTCATCATCCATATCCACTTTAGGTATTTCTGGTAGTTGTGGACCAATAACAACTTCAGTATTGTCCTCACTCGTTCCAATGAGGGAAAACTTGTTACCTTCTTCTCTCTTCCTCTTCCGTTCTTGCAGATGAGTTGTACGAGGCATAAACCTGTCAATTCCATTGTAAGCTGGAACCATTCTTTGCTGCATTAAGGAAGCAGGTGGAGTATGTCCTCCTGGATGTACACTTGGAGTTAAAGATGTGTTTTGACCAAAGTACCCAGAAATGTCAGCACAATTGTTATCATAGTGTGGAGATGTTAACAAGCTCTCATTCTGATTCCCAGATGGATATGCTATGTTGTGGGATACCCCAGGAGAACTTGTAAAGCAGGATGGATCCCAGTTAGTGGCTACATGTGATCCCAATGTACTCCATGGACAGTCTTGCTCAGAGTTCTTTGAGGCTGTCTTCTTAGGGCCTTCTACTTTCTTTAACACAAAGCAATCTTTAAAACAAAAACAAAGAAGCATCTTCACTATTTCGTATCATCATTAGTCCTTACACCCAAGAACAAAACTTTTTATATAAATGCAGAAACAATACCTATATAGTGCTATTTGATTCCCAGCTACCTTTCTGTGATTTTTTTTAAGCTTCAAATATAATAGAACATAACAAATTCAACTTTCAAACCAGTTTTCCAGTCTAGTGCCTTTGCTGGTTTGTAACAGAAAAAACTCAGATGATTTAATGTAAAAATCAGTGGGTTTACTCCCTTTAGAAATCCTCACACAATGAATAATGATACCCAAGTATGTGAGCACAAGAGAGGAGAAGTTTGTGCTCATCCATTTGTTTATTCCTCAGCCTGCCCTGCCTTCAGTGCTTCCTGGGAGCTCTGCAGTACAGGAGCCTTTTTAAACACAGTCCATTCTTAACATTCCCCCAGTGGAAAGATGTGAGCTGGAGAAATTTTTTTAAGGTTCTGGTATAACTGGTTCATCCTCCTTCCAAAACTGTCCCTTTGGCATGCCTGAGGAGGCTGGAACAAGGATGGAAGTGTGATCCCAGATTTCCTGCCAGTGCTTTAAATTTCTGGTAACAGTTTGAAAGAAAACAAAAAATGAAGGGAATACTTCATTATTACAGTTTAAGCATTTAATTATTTTAGTCTTAACCAAAGCCAAAAATTACTTTGAAAATTATATAGTTCTTTAAATACTGAGAGATGTCTCCCTGTAAACATACTTAAAATGCAGCTGTATTGGGTTTGTATGGCCCAGTGGGAGGGCTACAGGGGTGGCTTCTGTGAGAAGCTGCCAGCAGCTTCCTCAGTGTCCAGCAGAGCCAATCCCTGGTGGATCCAAAGATGGATGTGCCACTGGCCAAGGCTGGGCCGATTAGAAATGGTGGCAACACCTGTGTGGTAACAGATGTAAGAAGAGAGATAAAATAACCACAGCCCCTGGAGACCCATGGGGATGCAGGGATCCACCCACAGCCCTTGGAGGAGCCCCACACCAGAGCACGTGGGTGCTTGGGAGGAGGCTGTGACCCTGTGGGAGACCCATGGAGAGAGGGGCCCTGCTCCCAGGCTGGAGCAGCCTGTCCTTGGAGGAATGTACCCCATGGAAGAGTGACCCACACCACAGCAGTTGGGGGAGGATTGATCCCCATGGGATGGACTCACACTGCAGCAGTCTGGGGAGGACTGATCCCCATGGGAGGCACTCACAGTGCAGCAGTTTGGGGAGGATTGATCCCCATGGATGGACTCACACTGCAGCAGGTCACAGGGAGCTGTTGCTCATGAGATGGAGCTATGTTGGAGAGGTTCACAGAGAACTGTCTCCCATGGGATGAACCCCACGGTGCAGCAGGGGAACGACTCCTCTCCCTGAGCAGCAGGAGAAGCCACAGGTGATGAACTGAGCATAACCCCCATTCCCTGTCCCCTTGCACTGCTGAGGAGGGGGTAGAACTGGAAGGGGAGTAAGGGGGGTGGAGGTAAGGGCTTATTTTACTTCTCATTATCCTGCTCTGATTCTGTTAGTAATAAATTCACTTTATGTTTCTAAGTTGAGCCTGTTTTGCCCTCAATGATATTTGATGAGTGATCTCTCCCAGTCCTTATCTCAATCTGTGAACTGTTTGTTAAATTTTTTCTCCTTTGTCCAGTTTGTGGAGGGCAGTGAATGAGCAGCTTTGGTGGGTGCCTGGCATTTAGCTGGCGTAAACACACTATAGCCCTTTAATGGGCACTTTAACCAAAACCCCACCCAGCCCTGAAGAACATAAAAATTTTTCAGGAAATTTAATCACAAACCTCTTTGATTTGTTGCTTTTGCTATATACTTTCTTCTATCCTGCAGCTTCTCTCTAGTTTCTTGGACTGTTTCAAATTCTGGAGCATAGCACACGTGCAGCAAACTACCAAAGAAACTTCGTTCATCCATTTTTTTCTTGGCCACCCTGAAGGGAATTAAAAGTGTATCAACAAAACTGAGGATTTTACTCCAAGTCTCTAGAAACTTAACACTTTGTAAGTACAGAAGGTAAAAGATAAGACAGCACGAGGCAGATATTGCCCTATCCAATACCTTGCACATTGGAGTTTTTTGAATTTTATAAGATACACTTCAGTAAACTGTTCTGCTGGATATTCATCTAGAGCATGATATTCCTCAATGGCACCATATAAGGCAAATTGTTCAACTAATTCCTTCATAACACCTAATGCAGGAACTCCTTGTATCAGTAAATAGCGAGATTCCAAGTTGATAGTGTAAACCTGAAAAAAAACAAAAACAAAGACTATTCAAAAACATTCCCATTCTTGCTTTATTGCAAAAGGCAGGCATTTTCTCCATGTTTTCTGTTCTCCAAATCCTCTCAGAATGCTGGAAACCCCTATGTACTCTATTTTGCAGGATAGTAAGGGCATGGTTATTTGGGACCCGTTCATCACTGAGCAAGAGCTGAACTCAAGCCTCTCATGCATAGTAAAACACAAATGAGACTTGACTTTTCTATACAAGGTCAGAGTACTACTGACAACTGCCAGTTGCTGAGTAAAATCTCTTAAGTCTCTGGCCAACTTCCATGCAAAATGTACTAGTAACCAGTCCATAGGAGTTCATTCTGACAAAATACTAAAAAAAACACCGAAAAAACAGACTTCATAGGCAGAGAAGTCATGCAGGTGAGAAAAATTGTTTTTTCCACACAGGGAGTTTAAAAACAATTACTCAAATTCCCTGGGGTAAATCCTGTGTTTGTAGAGCTGTCTCCTTGCCATAGTGATCCAACAGCATGCATTTTTAAGATACGCAGATAAAATCTGGATGATGAGACAAACAATGTCTTATCCCAACAGGTTATAAACCAAACCAGCCATTCTCTTCTGTTTTGTGTAGTGACTGTCACATAATAGGCTCTAAGCTAAGCTTTCTGATGGCTTACTATGTACAACAGGCAGCTATGCAGCTTATCCTTGAAATCAAAGGAAATTTATCCAGAGTTTGTTAAAAAAAAAAAAACAACTCAAAACACAAACATTTAGACTGCGTGACACATTTTTCTCAAAAAAAAAATTATTCTGGACAAAGTGGAAATGCTTTGGAAATCAACTATCAAACTTCCACTATAAAAAACAGTCTCCACACCCAGGTCGCATAAGTTTTCTTGTGGCAGCAGCATATACCCATCCACATTCTTTTGGGAACAAGGGATTGAAGAAACCTGATGCTTTCACTATGCAAATTTTTTTTGGGGCAGGTTTGTCCTTCTACCTCTTCCTTGTCCAGGATGAAGAGTTTCAAACAAGATTTTTTCCACACTTGGGACATCCATGCTGTTTCTCCTGTCTATATTCTCCAGTGCCAGTGATGGCTGGATGCCTGTGGTGGCCAGAGTTCTGTGGACGCACAAGGCTCTCTGTCCCACCGTGTACACGTGGAAGAATAAAAGAACTTAATAGCTTTGAGGCTTCATGAAGTATGGAGGATTTGAAATTTTACAGGAAGGTGGTGACAGTGAAAGACACGTGCCTTATGTGTGTCTGCAAGGAGTGACCATTGTTCGGCACTGGCGAGACCACAATGCAAATCCTGGGCTCAGTTCAGGGCCTCTCTCTCCAAGACACTGAGGTGTCGGAGCATGTCCAGAGAAGGGCAACGGAGCTGGTGAAGGGTCTGGGTCACAGATCTGATGAGGAAGAGCTCAGCGAACTGGGGGGGCTCAGCCTGGAAAAAAGGTGGTTCAGGAAGATCTTACTGCTCTCTACAACTCCCTGACAAGAGGCTGGAAACAGATGCAGGTTGGACTTCATAATCTTAAAGGTCTTTTTCAACTTCAGCGGTTCCTTTCTCACTCCAGCCCTTTAGGGTGTCGCTACAGCTCGCTGTATGCTGAGCGCACAGAGATATCCAAATCTCGCAGTTCTGCTGCAACAACGAGAAGCTCCTGCCGGGCAGCGGGCCAGGGCCACGGCCTCCTTCTCTGCCTCCCCGGGAGCCGCAGGAGTGCGGCGCAGGCCCAGCCGCCCCCCAGCCCTCTCACCCACAGCGGCTCCTCCCGATACCGCCCCTTCCCCAGCACCTTCACAGCGCGCGGCCGCCACCCCTCGCGGTACTTGGCGCGCGACTCGCAGGCTCCCAGCTGTGCGTGGTGCCGGCACGGAGCCCCCGGTACACCGCTGCTGTCGGCCGCCATCTTCCCATCGCCCACCGCGCCCCGCGACGCACAGCCCCCATTGGCTCCCTCCGTACTGCGGGGAGGAGGAGCCGTGGGCCGCAGCGAAGGAACCAATCAGAGGCGGGCGGTGGGGAAATGCCGCGCCCGCATTGGCCGGCAGTGGGTTGTACCACTGCCCCGGGGGTGGCAGGGAGCATTACCCCCCCGTGCCCGCCCGGTAGGCGGCTCCGTGCCCGGGCGGAGCGGGCGAGTAGGGCTTGGCTGCTGCGGCCATGTGGGGCTGTGGCGATCCCGGTGGAGCTGCCGCCGCCACCGTCGTCCTGAGCGGGACCCGCGACTGCTTTCTGCACCTGCCACCCGCGCTGGCCTCGCTCCTCCGCCTGCAGCAGGTATCGGGGCGGCGCCGCTCGGGGCCCGGGCGCAGGGACGCCTCAGGCAGGCAGGGAGGATTGTGTGAGCGCGCCCCCGCATCCTGTTGCCGTGGCGATACAGAGCCCTCCTCCCTTCCCTCACAACTCAGCCCTCCCCGCACCTGGGACCCCTCACAGGGAGACATCGGGGAACCCTTCCTTCCCTCGCCTCCTGCGTGGCCCAGTGTCGTCATCCATTCCTAATAAAACGAGGGAATTTTTCTTCCCCAACGTGCTCTGGCCCTGTGGGCATCTGCGTCTCTCTCAGTACTCCCCATTTCATACCTGTTTTGCTTGTAACCTAGTATTCGCTAGTATTAAGCGAATAACGTGTAAATATTTAACTCTGGTAGGAGAAGAGATGAGAAATCCATGCAGAATCCTCATTCGTGGTGTACATAAATAAAATGTGTCACTATAGAAATGCGGTCCCGTCATGCAGAGCCCTGCTGAGGACGCGGGGTCAGCTGCAGGGAATGCACCTTACACTGTAAATTACATTTCACACGTGGAAACGGGAGGAAAGACACCGTGTGCTTCTTGTGCCATGAGCACAGAATTAGGAGTGCCAGCAGAACAGGGTGGAAATTAGCAGGAATGAGCCGAGAAAGATGCGAGCAAAGCTCAGGAGTTCTCGCACAGCCCCTCTGGGCTGAGCAGGCCTCTCCGTGTGGGAAACCTTGATATCTCAAGGCCGAAAAGGGCATTTCACAACAGGAAAACAACGTAGGCGTGTAAAAACCTGCTCGTTCATCTTTAGGGTAGTAAAAGGAGGTTGGGAATTGGAAGAAATGCCGTATTAAATGTGTGCTTCATTTCACCTGCAGTTTCTGCTGGCAAGAGAGAGGAAAAGGAGTGCAGTTATTTTGAAGTCTTGTAGTGTCATTCTGTACATTGTTTGTTATGGTGGACTGCTGCTTTTGGTTAACTTGAGCTGCTAAATGAGAAGATAGAATGACAGAAGTAGCATCTTAAATACATCTCATGAATAAAAATGTTAAAAAGAGGTTAAATGAAATCAGAAGCTGAATCTAATTGCAGAAGATATTAGATAAGGTCTTCAATTTGACATCAAAATGCCTGTGCAGTTCTGAAACAGATTGATAAAATAATTTTGGGCTGAGTTAATATGATTTTTGACATATTTAAAATTATGTCACGGAAGCACTATTGAAGACCATGTAAATGATATAATTTTTGTGAAACCAAAGTATATGTTTATTTCTTTTCCTCATTTGGGAAATACAAATGTACAGTTACACATTTCTGTAAAATATTTTTTGATACCCTATCATGCAGAAGAGAGAAAAAAGAATTAATTTCTTTACTTAAAAATAGTCCATAAAAATAGAAAGCTGTTTAAAAATTGAAACCAACATTCACTTCTGTGTTGAGTTGTGCAAACAAGGTGTAAAGTCCAGATGATACCTTTAATTCCTTTGATCTCTCTAATCAAATACAGTTTAGGTTTTTCTAGTAGTCATCTTACTTAGCTGGTTTTATATTAATTTGTTTTCTTTCTTTGAAAATCATAGGGCCAAGCTGTGAAAGTATCCTGTGGTCATCAGCCAGTATTTTTGAGCTGGATGGAAACCAGGCATCGAGGTCACCAGGGTGAAAATATTGTAGAGATTAACAGATATTTGGCAGAGAAACTTGGCATCGCAGATGGAGAGCAGGTTTGAAATGCTTTGTTTTTTATTTAAATAAAGAGTATATTGGAAGATAAATGAAAAGGTAATACTTTATGAGTTAGCTATGTCCTTGTTTCCTGTATTTAGACAGTTTCTTCATTTACATCTGTTTATGAAAAAAGTTAACTGTCTTGCAATGTCTCGAATGAAAAGATTTGTTCATTAAACCATTAACAGTTGGCTAAACAATGTTAGGATAGGCTTGTGGGTAGGTCCTTGCAGGGCTGGAACAACTATCTTCAGTGACATTAATTTTCAGAAAATACACTTTTAAGCAATTGAAAAATTTGGAATGGGAATATTTTGCTTGGAGTTCCTGTTGTTTTAAAGTAGCTATTGACTTTCTGCATATTCTTGTTTAATTTGCTTGGGGTTTAAATTTTCATCCCTTTTTTTACCCCTTCACCATATGTCGCTTTCTCTTTGAATATTTGTATTCACCTGTTACAAATATCTGTCTGTCTGTCTATCTACTTCTTGTACATTCACCTCTTACTCTTGAACACTCTGCTAAACTTCTCATAAACAGCTCTTTCATTGACCAGAAGTCACAGATGCCCAAGAGGCATAGAGTTTTCTGTCATGGGACTACTAAAATCTCAAAATTAAAGTATTTATTTTCTATTAATAGGTAGACATTTAAACAAACAAGATTAGGAAAGTACTGCTTTGCACAGTGTTGTTATGTAGTATATTCATATTTGCCTGTTCTCTTATAGGCAAAATGTTGTTCAACATAATAGAAGACATCAAAGAGTGTGACTCAGAACAGTGTATTATCTTACCTTGTTTACTTTTTAAACATATTTTCTCTAGAAATTATGTGTCCATTTGCAGAAATTTCCAGTTTAGTAGTTGAGCAGCTAGGCATCTACTCTTTTTAGTTCTAGCAGTTAATAGCCTTCAAGAGGAAAACAGTTGGTAAAGGAAACCTAAGAAGACCTCACTCAGCTGTTATCTGGGAATAATCATCTGTACAATTAAATAAATACTTGGTTAATTAGGTAGTTTCACCATTGTTTTGGATTCAGGAGTTAACATGTTTGCTGTATATCTTCTATTTGCTATGCTGGGGAAAAGATATTCCTCTCAATTATTGCTTCCAACTAAGGACATAGAGGATTTCAAAGCTGTTTGTACTTCTTTTACTAACGTGAAATTGCGTTAGTAATTACTAACATAGCTCTCTCAGAGGAAAGACCTAAGCCACAACAGCTTTTACCATTCCTCCTGATTCACAAGATACTAAAACTGTTCTGTGGAGATGGGGCTGCTTCCTATGAAACGATTCCTTAAGGAGCTGGGCTTGCTTTTCTATTGTACTTTTTCCTTATTTTTTAGCTGGTTCTAAACGTTTGCACAAGCAAATGAATTTTTCAGCTTTCTAAAATCCTGGGGATTTAAAAATAAAGATTAAAAAATAGATGGTTATGTGATCAAGGTGTATTAAAAATTGATTGTTATCACCTGCTACAACTGATGCTTTTAATATTCACTGCTTACTGGGCCTAATGGGATCCATTTCCCATCCATTGAGCATTCATTTGCTTATGAATTACCTCGTGTCATTAGGATGGTATGTGTTCTAAGTAGCTAAAATAGGTAATGAAAGAGATGTCAATTTTCTAGTTGAAATAAAGATGAAGCTTTTACATATTTAAAAATAAGGAGTTAAATATTTTGGTGTTACTTTTGCCAGGTGTTTCTTGAACCCTGTTCCCATGTGTCGTCCTGTCAGCAAGTAGAAGTGGAGCCACTCACAGCAGATGATTGGGAAATTCTGGTAATAAGATCCCTTCCATTGTTCACATTCTTGTCTTACAGATGACAGAGATTCTGACTAGAGCAGTTTTTTGCACAATGCCCCATTCTTTTCAGCCTCTAAGAAAAATGTGGTGGAGTTTAGTTGTATTTTGTATTTCAAGTGGTNACACACAGGTTTTCTTCTTCAAACAAATGTTAAAAATGTATGCAGTATTTAATTTATAATGGTATCATATTTTCCCAGGAACTGCACGCTTCCTCCCTTGAAAGACATCTTCTTGACCAGATTCGAGTGGTGTTTCCAGGAGCTGTCTTTCCTGTTTGGGTTGAGCAGCACACCCACGTTTACATCAGAATTGGTAAGCAGTGCTCAAGACTCTCGGGGCACCTCCAGTGAGCTGCTTTGCAGGAGTAGATGCATTCATTGGCATCTTTTGCTCGTACTTAGGTACACTTGTGCCAGCAGCCCCATATGGGAGATTAGAGCCATGCACGGAGCTTCTGGTATGTCCCAAAACACATGGACCTGAGGAGCATATCACCAGCACACCTGCCACAGAACGTGACATCTTACTCAAAAATTTTGTGAAAAATAACATGGAACAAGAAGAAACATTAAAGGATCCTTTTGCCAAACAACCTTACTTAAAGTCTGGAGACCTTGAACAGAGTAAGGCTGATGCAAACACGATGTTTGGCTCAAATGTTCTCCCAAATATATGGAATTTCATAGGGAACATTTTCTCTAATACATCTGAGCAGAAACAAAAGACTTCGTGTGATAATGATGAAATGAGCACCTTCAAAGACAAGCTGCTGAACTTAATTCACATGGATTGCATTTTTAGAGTATGTCAGTCCCAGCCTCCCAGTGTACAGAATGTGTCCTCCACTCATGAATTTCTGAAATGCAATGCTGTTCACGTTTTTCCATGGAATCTGGAATATATTGATTTGGATCCAAATCCCGTAGTATCTTACGGGAAAATTAATGAGCTGCTTTCCCCAAGACAGCGTCATCAAGAAGCAAAACAAAATCTGCCACTTGAAAAGCAAAATCATCTGACTAGTACACAGGACAAAAATCCTTCTAATTCTAATAGCAGTCAAGCATCCAGTGAGGGATCTGTTGTTCAAATCGTTTGGAATGGATTTGAAGATCTAAAGAGTGTCATAGAGTATGGCCACGATGGGCAAGCCCTGCATGTTGGAAGAGTTTGGGTTAGTTTGAGCACATCGTATTTTGGGCTCTTTATTTTATAATATTTTCTATTGGGTAGTTGTGAATTGGCTACTTGATGTGCCGTTTTGGGATGTAGACTTTGTGTTAATCTCTTGAGTTTACTAAAACCGAGTGAGTTTACTAAAACCAAATACTATTTTTTAGAGCTGTGCTTTGTACTCATTCTGGACGTCATTACTTACCATCATCCTCCAAGATGTACGGTGTACTCTGAGTTTCTGAGCACTTAGCATTTCTTACACCAAATGAGGAAAATGCTTCAGCATTTCTGAAGGGAATGTGTGCTTTTTTCACAATCTGTGGGTAGCCATTGTATTAACGAGAAAGTAAAAGTATCTATTTACATATATTCAGTACTGCATAGTAGGACTCTTCATCAGTTAACTCTGAAATGTGCCTTGACCTAGGGGTCATCAAACTGTAAAGTAATGGGATGGCATATCCTAGTCCTACATAACGTTCGTGAGTCCTTTTATACACTCTTTAAAATACATGTTGAAGATTAATATAGAATAACCAGCTTGTGTAATTTAAACTGTTGTAGTTTTCATGTGCCGTTTTGCCACGTGGCACAAGTCCGGGTATGGATGTGCTGATGTTTCAGCTTGTTCTGATAGAACTACTGCCTGATTATGTTCTTTCTTTCCTGAAGAACATGTGGGATCAACAAAAAAACCCCAAAATTTGCTCCAAATCACCATTTGACTATTTTGACGTGATATATTTCTCACCATTCACTCATTGCTGTATTAAGAATGAGAGCAAGAGCCTGCAGTGGTTTTTGCCATTAAGTCTTTTGACAGCCGTAACAATTTTCCAAATGCTAACAGTCATTAAGGCTCTCATGGTTAAGAAGTATTTATGAGTTGTTTTCAAATTGGTGTAAGTTTTAAAATAACACAGATTGAAAAGGAGTTTCCTTAAAAGAGCAAACTGACTAGTATGATTTCGGGAGACTGGATTTTCTGTCTCTCTGCTGCAGGTGTGCTTAGTTCTGATCTCTGTAATGGTTTATGCATATTTACCTGCCCACATAAAATTAATTTTAATCAGCAACTGAAATGAAATTGTTTTTCTCCTATACTAAGAGCATTCTTGCAATGTTTAAAGAATTTCTTCTACTTCTTTCATGAGCTTTTGGGTTTATTAAGTTAGTAGAAGGTCAGCTGTAGTGAGCACTTTCACAAATAAGATAAAAGGTAACTAGAAGTGTGCATATAAGAGTAGGATTTGGGTATCACTGTCAATGTTATATTTTCCTTCTTAATTCTCTTGAGTGATGAAGAAATTGATGTAGTATTATATATGCAATAACTAGTTTACTTTCTAATGCTTCTTTTTTTTGCTTTTGTTTTAAATATTTCAGATTGCAGATGGTCTGAGAAAAAAACTGCATATTGAAATGCATTCAACAGTCCGAATTAAGTCACTTGAATCTGTTCCTAAAATTCCTGTATCTCTTACTCTGCAACCCAAACAGAACTTAGTGAGTTGATATTACTGGTCACATACTTGTTCATATATTGGGAAACTGATAATGTTGCTCTAGTGAAACTGGGCGGGGGGAAGGAGGGTGTTGTGTTTGTTTTAATTTATTAAATGATGATCTGGAAGTTGTCTGTTGTTGACTGTAGAAATAATTCCAAAGGATTTTTTTGAGGTGTAATTTCTTGTTTTTTCCTTTGACTACATAAATTTACGTTAATAGGTTGCTACGATCTACTTAAACAGAGCTTATCTAGTATTTGTACTTTGATCAATGTACTGTAAACACCAAGCCATTAAATTTTGGGTTGCCCTTGATAGATATCTCCAGATAGTTACACTGCTAATTGTAACAATTTTCTGTTTAAAGAAACTGGTAGATACCACAGACAATGGAGAAAATTGACCTTCTGAATTCTGACTTGTTTTCCTGAAGCTATTAAAGGATATAGCACTTCTGACTCATAGCACATTTAAAGTCCTAGAGTTTTCCATTATTCTCAAATTTTGAGAATTTCTGATGTCTTTCTTATTAAAAAGGATGTTGACATGAAGGAGACATGGCATCAATAGGGAAAATAGACATTTTTTGTTAAGTTAGTTCTCAAGTATAAAAAAAATCACTGTCAAAATAACAATAATCAATAATAATTTTGCATTAGACCTTCATTTGAAGTACATTAATATGAATTCAAACCTAGCAAATATTAAGTGATTGCTTTTAAGCCTATAAAAGAAACACAAAACAGAAAAAGATTCATAGAGTTAAGGAGTAAAGTCTTCTGGGAGAAGATATCACTAAATCTTTCCAACATTATAATGCCCAAACAATTGTAGTGAAAGTAGAATTTGTATGTACTGTTTAGTCTTTTCTTTTTTTCTTTTCCTCATGTTTAATATTTAATCTTTGAAGTTATATCATTGAGTGCCTCAGTTTTTCTATAAGGGAGACATATTCTGAGTGACCATCTGTGTCAGTAGGACATACTTAGTACCAGTTCTCACAGCCCATCGATGTGTCTCTGGAATTACGTATTTCTTTGTAACTTGTGTGACACTGGCCTGATTATTTCCCATGTTAGCTCCTCCTCAAAGCTTTAAATGCAGCACTTGCCATCATAGCAAGGCTTAGGCAGGTTTGTGTTTCATCCCCAGTATTCTAATTTGGTTTCTTACCTACAGAAGAACTAGATTTTTTTTTAATATTGGAGATAAAAGGATTATTATTATTATGATCCTTATGGGTCCCTTCCAACTCAGAAAATTCTGTGATAGTCTGGCATTAATCTGCTAAAATAGTAGAAAATGTAGTTCTGTGGACTCTTGTATATTTTAAATACAGATTTCTCCTTTTCCTTTCTAATTCAGTTAAAGGTTTTTTTAGTTCTTAGAAAAAAAACAGACAAATGCAGAAAGAATTTTTACAGTTACTTTCATTTTCCGTTCTGAGCACTGCTTCCAGCATCTTCATTGATTCCCCCTTTTCTACATGGGAATTATGCATCTGTGATTAGGAACTTAGGTAAGAGATATTGGATCTAGACTCAATTTCTTTTCCTATTTTAGTTATCTAGGTGGTCTAGGATAAGTTGATTGGTCTCTGCCTGGCTGTTGAAGGTTGGTGGTGGTGCCCATGAACTGGATAAGCCCAGGGTTCTTTTATAGCAAAAGGGTATACTAGGAAGAGAAGGGTGTAGTGAGCATCTGAAATAAGTTTCATGTCAATATCAGTGCGTATCTTCAAACCCAGGGTCTGAGCAGTGCCCTTGGATCTTGGAAGGCAGACTAGTAAAATGAAAATAGAAGCTTTTCCTCACCCTTTTATCAGTGTTCTGAGGGAAAAATCTTTAGAGGTGGTCTAATACTCAGCTGTGGCCATAGCAGGGATTGCACAGATGCTTTCCCTAGAGCAGTTGATAGAAATGGTGTTTGTTGGCAAAATGCTGTTTTCTTAACAAATAAAATTCTTACATCTTCTTCCATCTCTCTGTTGCCATAAGAGAAACAAATGCCTCCTGCATAGGAAGAAAATATTTGTACTTATGAACACCTGGTTTAGTTTTATTTACCTTCTTCTTTTTTCCTATTTAGCATAAAGAGATACATGAAGATGATGTTAAATGTGCATTCAGTTCTTGGCTGCAGGATTCCACTACTGATGATCACCCGTGGATAATGACAAGCACAGACTGTGTACATCTGTCTATTAAAGAAGGCAAGGATAATACTGTCCTGTCTACTATGGAATTTACTTAGCCAGTATGCCAGTTAATTTCTGTATACACCCTTTAACATAACTGATAGCTCTTCACACTGAAGGTGTAAGCTTGAGTTACTCTTTAATGGTTAACCTTTTTTATTCTTTCATTTTGGATTATACTGTAGTAATACTCCAATCAGTCTTATCTTGTGAGGAATGAAAACTGAATTTATATGGAGTTTTAACAGTTGTTCATTGTGTTTTTACAGGAATGGAGGAGTTTGTCCTTAGTGCAGCACGTCCCATGCGCACTGAAGAAAATAAATCTGAGAATATTTTTATACTGAGTCCCAGTTTGCTGCAAAAGACAAATATACAAGTAAATATCACATAGTATCAGGTATCAAGTAATTTAAATTGTTATACTTGTTAAAAATATATTGCATTTTGTATATATTTCAGTTTCCCTTTTAAAGTATATAATGTCAGTTTATTCATTAAATTGTATCTGCATCCTTTATGTTATTTTGTAGCTTGAAATTCCAGGCATGCCATGATTGTCACTGAGTGTCATAGAGTTTGCTCATCAAACTTAGGAGAGTCAGTACTGTCCAAGTTTGAACATCCTTACACTTATTTGTATGTGTACCATCCTTAGTTGTTCTCTCCCTTGGTAACTAAACCACTTCTCAGTGTACTCTGGCAGGAACAGGAGACATATTCTCCATTCAAACTGACCACACTGCCTTTTCTCTGATATAGTTTCTGTGCCTTCTGTTTCTTCCATATTTCATTTCTCAGAAGAATAAATATTTCTATTTAATATTAGAATTAACGTTTCTATTAGTAATTCCAGTTGATCCACTGCCCATTACTTCAGAGTTATGGTTATAGGAATGAGATAATGTTTTTTTTCGTTTTTAGATATAGAGTGAATTTTAGTGAATTAAAGGTGGTTTTTGGCTGTTTAGAATAGAACTTGTTTTCAAGATTTAGAATTGCTGTTAAAAAACGATAAAATAAGCTTTCTTTTACTAGTAGTAAAGTATAAGAAGGTTTCTAGAAATTGTTCAAGTGACTGGAACTAAGATGAAAAAGAGAAATTAATTTCTTAATAGCTGTGTGAACATCTCCTACTAGCCTGTTCTTACCTGTGAACCTCTGCAACCCCTCTTTGCCTGGCCAGCTTTCCATACTAGCTCCCTGGTGAACAAGATGGAAAAATTCCTGCCAGGTATTTTGTTAAGTTAGTTTCCACGTAGTCAGATTCTTTATCAGTTTCACTATTCTGCCACATGAGCTCTCTTGCCAGCAGGACAGGGGATGGCACAGGCGAAGGAACAAGCTGCAGGCAGGGGAAGAGATAGTAGGCTGCACAGTCTGTTATAAACAGCACTTGGCCCAAAATCTAATGTTACATGATTAAATTACTGTCAACACTAGATTGTATTTTGGAAGTAGTTGTATCTCTTCCATTTCACCAATTCTCCTTTATTTCAAGCACAGCAAAGCATACATGCAGTGTTGTCTTTGCACAACTCCAGAAATCGCTGGTGACTCCATAGCCTTTTTCTGTAGTTATATTTCATCTAAAGTCCTGACTCTCCTTTGTTGTAGGTTCTTTTACATCCTCTAAGTAGAAAAGCTGATGATGACAACCAGCCACCTATGCCTGATAGAGACAAGAACCTTCCATACCACAAACTAAGCGATTTAGGGTGAGACATTTTGGTAGAAAAACACATGGGAGGAAATGGGAATGAGAATTAATAAAAAATAGCATAGGTGGAAATGCAGACTTTCTGGAAACTATGCCAGATCTAAGCAGAATTGTGCATATTTTGGCTTGGATAAGGTTCAGACGTTATCCTAGTTTATGCAGATGGGTAATTTTGTCCTTTAATGTTATTACTGCAATGAATACAAAACTTAATGTGTCTAAAGGTACTCACATACTGAAAATTTCGGCGTGTCTGTCAGTAGGATGGACGGTCTTAGAACTGAGACTGCCTCAGCATGGAAACTCAGAACTGAACTTTAGAAGAAATACTGATAGTTCAGCAGTTTTTGCTGTCCTGAGAAGTATGAACAGACTTCTACAAAGCAGCAAGGGACAGTGGGGTGGTTTTAGCTGGGGTGTTCAAATAAAATATATAAGTTGCAATCTACCAATCCATGTCCCCCAGTAACTTCCGTCTGTTTATTTGTTCAACCACATTTAATAGTAAGGATCTCAAAGAACTGTAGTTCCTAAAATTTCTGTCGCAGTCATCATCTGAGGAGAGAAATGCAGGGTGCTGTGCTCATAAGTACAAGGGAAAACAGTGGTACTGTGTAGAAAATATGACAGGATGGGGCGGAGGAGACATGAGAGGCTTGGAGTGTTGTGATATCGTGCTGTCAGTGCTGGGAAGGGCAACTGAGAATACAGTCTGTCAGCATTCTAACTTCCCCATAGTGCAAGCTTTTACTACCTACAGAGTGTGCACTGATGCTACCCTAGGCCATTTAATGTTTCTTTTCCCCTACAGAGGAGTGGACAAATTAGGAACATCTTTATTTGAACATATAAGCCACAGTCTTTTGGGGCGTCCTTTATCTCAAAAGCTGGCTGCTATTGCTGTGGGACTGCGAAGTGGAGGGGTGCTTCTCACAGGAGGAAAGGTACTCACTTCTACTTTCATCTGCAAACCCTTGCACATTGTTTTCCATAGTTGCAAACTGGTTGATGTTAGTTTTCTTTGATGCTATGCACATTCCAAAGAATAAAGAACAAGCTGAAAAAAAGAGCAGTTAACTGAACAGAGATAATTCATTAAAACATCACACACACACACGTCCGTGTATATATATATATATATATATATTTATATATATATGCATATGCACACACATACGTTTTGAAGATTGCTACCAATGCAATTTCAGTAGGGGATTAATCTACTTTGTGTTTATACTATGAGAAGCACTTCATGTCTTTGAAGTATTTGAATGAAAGTAGGCATATATTTTCTCTCGTGTTCTAACATAAAATGGCAGTGGAGTTGATACTGTTGTTTTCCTGTTGCCTCATACAGTGATCCATTTAATATCATATGTCACTGAACCTAGCAGATGTCTTAACACTGAACTCAGTGGAATCAGAACACTGTAATGGATGTATCCACTCTGAATTTATCTTCATTTCACTCTAGGGCTTTGGTCCCTACCGAGTGATACAGAGGCAGAATACATATATACTTTTACTGAGAAATAAACACTGTGTGTGTACAGCTTCCCCAGCTTGTTGACTGGTGCATACTGTGACAAAAACACAGAAATACGTTGGTTCTGTCAATTTACTTTAACTCACATTTATTTTTGTAGGGAAGTGGGAAGTCAACATTAGCAAAGGCCATCTGCAAAGAAGCTTTCACGAGACTGGATGCTCATGTAGAAGTAATTGATTGTAAAGCTTTAAGAGGTATGATAATAGTTTCTTTTAATCTCAAGTGTTTGCTGCACAATAAAGAGGCACAGTTATGAAGTTACTATATTTGGTCTGAATAATTTTTCTAGCATTTTTGATGTTTTTGCAAGGATGTTTGATGCCCCACAATTAGCATCTTCAAGAGTCTGATGGAAATACAGCTACTGTAAGTTTATTTCACACTTCTGTCAGTTTCTGTCCCACATACCACCACGAATTTAAACCATGCTTGCCATGCTATTTTCTAATTGTTACAAAATAGGAAGAAGTTGCAAAAATTGAACTGCGTGTTTTTTCAGCTGTGCTAGCTGTAACAAATGTTTTAATAAACTGTAAGTGTTAAAGGATACCTGTACTCAGTGAAAGGATAAGACAGACACCAAAGAAGGATTGAATGACTAACTTGAAACCTGATTTATGGTGGCTGATTTACTAACCTAAGTGTATTTGGCAATAGGCATGTAACAGTCGTGATTGTAGATGATGATTCCTTAGGTTTTGTGAGTTCAAAATAATTATTTTGCACAAAGACAGAAGAGCACGGAGGAGACATTTTTCTGCTCTTGCATTTCACTGGCTTTTCTAAATAGTCTTGCTGTTACAAGGGCAGAAAATACTCAGCTGTTTCTTATGGACTCTTTTTATTTCCTCACTATATTCTTTTTGCTTAAATCACTACTTAAGCTGGAGCCCTTTTCACCAGAGGAAAGGGGAAAGATTTATAATGACTTTCAGGTCCTTTGCTCTGGAAAATTCTTCCAAATGTAGGATTCTTTAGTAGCTATTTTAGAATGCTGCTGATATTTCTCTGGTTTTAACTGTCTGGAAATTAAACTTGTAGGCTTTTATAGTGGTTAGTAAAAGATGATTAATCTCATTTTAGATATGTGGAACTTTCTAGTACTTTTTTGATTGAAGATGTGGACTCTCTTCTTTAGTGATTGTTGACTCTGGTTTTAATCTTGCTATCTGGATTTATAGATGTGAAGTCAAAAAAGACAAAACATTGTGAGCAAGATGTAGTCAGTCTGATTTTTTTCCTGATATTTTGTGTCATTCTAATAGTATTTTGTTTTAGGAAAAAGATTAGTAAACATAAGGAAACATGTGGAAGAAGCTTTTTTAGAGGCAGCATGGAGACAACCATCTATTCTTTTGATGGATGATCTAGATCACATTGTCGGAGTACCTTCTACACCAGAACATGAGAGCAGCCCTGAAACAGTTCAAAGCAATAGACTTTCTTATGGTAATACTGTTCTACCTTTGTCTGGATAGAAATATAATGCCACTTAAAATTTCTTACACCTGAATTGTACTGTCCTACCTGAACAATGCTGTCTGTATCATTATTGCCTCTGGACCATGTGCTATTCAGGCAGAGACTCAAAAATTACGGTATGTAGGCATTTGTGTACCCCTAGCTGAATCAAAATCATTCACTCTGGATCTTGGAGTAGTCCTTGCCAATGTGCATCCACCACTGCTGCTTCCGGTAATGCCTGTTGTCAGTACCGCTGCCGGTGCTTGAGGCTCCTCCATTCTTTTTAATATTAACTCATACACTCAAATACGTTTCAATTGATTGCCAATTGCAGATGAACCTTTAACTGGTAATTACTGGTAAATTGATTTTTTGTTTTCCATAATTATTATTATTTATAATTACAGAGATACATCAATTTGATGCTTACTGTTGTTGAAAACCAGCTTCTTTTAGATGAATACCAACTTCTTCATCATCCTACTTGGTATACATTGTAGAACTTTTATTTTGTTTTACAATGTAACAATCCAGAAATGTTAAATATAAGATGATCAGATGTAGTTTGACATCCTGTATGTGGTTCCCTTTTATTTCCAAAAGTCTAGGCAATGCTAAGTTGCAAATTAAATCTCAACGACCAAGATTAATAAAGCCATAGCAAAAGATACCTTCAGTTTCTTAACTCAGTTTGAGGGAGTTAACATAATTTTTACTGAAATACTTTCGAAATTCAGAAAATCTTACTATAATTTCTTCCTAAAAAATGTGCTAAGTTACATGAAGAGTTGTTTGACTTTCTGGTTTTCTTATTACTTTTACTTCAAGGTATAATGCATACAGCAGAGCTTTAGAGTTTTAAAGATTTTTTTCCTTGAATATCTACCTTGCATCTTAATTTTTTTTTTTTTACTTTTATGTATTACCTTTCTCCTGGAGTGCTTTTTTTCTAGGCTTAAGATCTGGGTTTTTTTCCTATAACTTTTTTTTTTTGTTTGCATGGAGAGAATAATGGCACACAAAAGTAGATGCCATCAGTGATGCTAGAAAATCAGCTTTTAAAAAGCATTTCTGATGGCATTTTGTTAATGGAATGCACTGTCCTAGAGACAATCACTATAGCTTTTTTCCTAGTTTAAAAAAACAACTGTAAACACCAGAATAAAAATAATACTGTTTCAAAGTGGTTATATTTTGTGTGCACTAATGCTATTCTGTGGGTTAGGGCTATTTTTGCTCTTTTGCAATTCATGCAGCAATATCTTCTGTGTTTAGTTTTGAAAGATCTGATGAAAGAAGTTATTTCCTTGGGGAGTTTGATTGCATTAATTGCCACGAGTCAGTCTGAACATTCCCTTCATCCTTCCCTGGTTTCAGCACAAGGAACTCATCTGTTTCAGTGCTTCAAATGTATCCGATCTCCAGATCAGGTAAATTCAAATAAAAATAAAAATGTTTGCCTCCCCAGCAGCCTCAAATATGGTACTGGAACAGCTTCAAAAATAGTAGGTTACACCTGGAGATGAGAAAAAAATCTGGAAATCTTAGAAGTTCTTTCATGATACTTAAGTACCTCGGAACTTACACCTGTCATTATAAAGTTAAAAAAACCCAAAAGTAATCCAGCAAAAGGTCACAGTTGGCCCCACTCTTCAGTGGTAAGAGAAGGATGTATTCAGAGGATATTTCAGTTCAACATAGAACAAATTGGGTAGTCTAACACATGTCTCCTTGTTACCTCTAAGGGGATGCTAAAGGAGCAGCTTTGTAAAACATGTAAATCATCAAGTTAGAGAAATTAAATTAAACGTGTGTTTTTTTACAGCTCAGTGAAATATGTCCCTAGAACATGTATTTTAAAAATGTTATTGAAACTAAATATTAATTTGAGACAGTTTTAGGTTTGTTTCCATATTAATACAATCCCTCTACTTTTGAACATAGTCCAGTTTGAAAAGAAAAATGGATAGAGAGAAGAATGAACAGTATTAACTTTCATGCAGGAGAAAGCAGATACTTTGAAACCCTCGTCCCCAAATGACTCCTTTGTATTTAACGTGAGTTGTTCCTGTCTGTATGTCCTCCGTCACAGGCCAGCAATTAAAAGCCACTCAGGAGGGGATGCTGTGTTAGATGCAGTTTAACTTTCTCCCATTTCTTGCAAGTCTGCTTTTGTTGTTTTTAATACTAATACTCAAATAAGGATGAGACATCACTGGAAAAGTCAAGATCTCAAAAGATACCAAATTATTTAAAGTGTTTTTATCTAGCACAATATATTGCATTTCAAACATATTCTCTGCTCATACTGATGAAATGTGTTCTTTTTCTTGTGAAACAGAAAAAAAAAGGATGTAAAACAGTAGAATCTGGGGAGGAAGGGATGTTTCATTATTAATGTTGCATTTAAAGTAGCTTTGGTGAGGTAAATATTTAAAGTTATAAAACTAGTGAATTTATTGAAGTACACCTGAAGAATTAGCATTTGTTTATATTGCTTAAGTTTTTGTTATTTAAACAGTTGGTGTTACGCAAATATTTAAGGAAATTTTAGTAAGTCATACCTATTTACTGTTTGAATTCCTGAACTCCATATAAATAGTAAACTAACTAATAGTAAACACACTTGCTGCACAATTCTGTTTTTCAGAAGCAAAGATATGAAATGCTATATTCCATAATAAAGATGAAACTGAATTCTGATCCGAAGGACTTCTCTGATCTTGACCTCCAGTGTATTGCAAAGGAAACAGAAGGTTTTGTTGCTAGAGATTTTACTATGCTGGTTGATCGTGCCATTCATACCTGTGCTTCTAACCAGAATGCATCAGATAATGGTGGTATGTTGACAACAAAATCTCTTATTTCGTTGTCTTACTTCTGTTATCCCGAACTGGTTGAATAATACAGAAAGAAATCCCCAGTTTTTACAATTTATGTTTAAAATTTCTTTTTTTTTGTTTTATATTGTAAGGAGTTTGCTACTGGCAGTCTGTGTGTTTGGGGTTTTTTTTCAGGACGTTTTTTCTTTTTCAATCTTTTTTTTAAGCAGATTTGAACCTGTCTACTGTGGATTTTCAAAAAGCTCTAAAAGATTTTACTCCATTAGCTCTGAGAAATGTCAGCCTTCATAAACCTAAAGACCTTGGCTGGGACAGGATTGGTGGCTTAAAAGATGTGAAGCAAATGCTCAGGGATACCATCATGTTACCTGCAAAGGTACTAAGTTCCTTTAAATCAATTACTTGAATTTTGTGCATAATGTTAGTAGGGAAGAATTATTTTTTAATATTTGGAAAGTGTTGGATAGAAAGATGATAGGCATGATTTTGTAGCTTTTCATTCTTCAACTGTCTTCAGCTATTGGAAAACACTTTCTCCTTCCCCTTCTCTCTTCCAAATACAAAAGGCAGTGGCTGAGCTTTACTGCAGAGCAAGTGTTGCTCTACAATATTGGAGTTTTGTTGCACTCGCTTGCCGGGCTTGTAATTAGGCTTTGTAAAGACATTTCCAGCAGTTTTCTGCAGTGCTTTTGCTAGGGGAGTATTTTCTTTCAGATGAATGCCAATTCAGCAATCTCACTTTATTTCACTTTGGCCTTTCTGCCTTGCTTAAAACTTGAATTGAGATAAGCCACTGAGCATTGACTCTTCAGAGAAATGATTGAATGATATATTTGATTATTTCAGTGATTAAAATAGGAATTTAGAACTAACAGTAGCGAGAGTACAAAGGTCTAGTCCATCCATCTTCTGGCCTGTTTCCTCTTGGTAGAAAATCCCACTTGTTTGTATTTTAGGTACCTGTTAAACCTAGGAACCTAGTTCAGCCCCAGGTAAACTAAAAACAGTCCAGATGAGCTGTTGGGATAACAGGGAGACTGTAATAAATTAGATGCATTCTATTTAGACAAAAATCATCGCTAGTCAGTGATGTTACAGTACATTACAGAATACTTGCTTATTTTAGAATATATCACATTGAAACTCTTTTCCAGTATCCAGAATTATTTGCAAACCTGCCCATACGACAGAGATCAGGAGTTTTGCTGTATGGAGCTCCTGGAACAGGAAAAACATTGTTGGCAGGAGTGGTTGCGAGAGAGAGTGGAATGAATTTCATCAGCATCAAGGTAGCAAGAGTTTAACCTTAATTGATTCATTTTATTAACTGAATGAAATAGCCTTACATAATACCTGAATTTTGCTTATCTCTGGATATCGCTCTGTATATCTGATTCCTGGAACTTCAGAGTTTTATTACTGAGATTTTTTTTTTGTATACTTATTCACTAGACAGAACTATACAATTTAATTAGGTCTTCTTAGTTTCTCATTTTTTTGTAAAAAGACACCAGATTTTGATTCCATTGGACAATGAAATTGAGTAATATATTTGAAACATTTTTAGCATGAAGTGTAAACCTTTGCCTTGAGATAATGTAACATATGTTCTGTTACCGTACAAAATGGAAATGATTACTTTTAAACAAGTTGGAATGCTTGAAAATTTCTTCTGGATTATCTAGATCCCTTGGCTCTTCTGTTCAGAGATGACACTGTCTTGATTGCAAGAAAGTTCAGTCTACTATGCAAAATATATGCTGATGTTGAATTACACATTAAAACTAAGAAACATGTAATGAGTATTGTTTTCTGATTATATCTTTTTAGGGACCAGAGCTGCTCAGCAAATACATTGGAGCAAGTGAACAGTCAGTTCGAGATGTATTTAACAGGTTTGTTTTTGTAGAGATTTGTGATGATATCAATAAATTTCACAAGTTGAAGGACAAATAAATAATTATGTTGTCTGAGGAGAGATATGGCATCAGCTCATAAAAGTGTCTGAAATAATCAGTTGTGCTGAACCAGATGGGTGTATCTTGGCAGATTCAACCTTGCCATCATTGTTAAAGAACTGCACAATTTGGCTCCAATGAGGAATGTGCTTTTGAAGCTGAACTCCCAGTTCTCTTGGTACATTGGTTCACATCATAGAACTCTCTTGGAAAACATATTCTGAATTCCTTTCAGATTATTCCAGAAGACAGTTGACTGTACTCCAAGTAGTAATGCACACTTAATACTTAGGGTCATATTAAACTTGGTATTGAAGTCCTCAATGCCAGTAGTTCTTTTTTACAAATCTGCTCTTACTGGCCTTCAGTGCTCACTAATGCCAACATATCCTACATAGCCTTTGCTTCTCAACTTATAATGTAGGCAGTCTTCTTGTTAGCTGTCTGTAAGCCAAGAACTCATCTGCAGTGATTGGATTTTAGAGCTTTCATGTATATTAATATGACAGTTGAGCACTTAGAAATGATAAAGTGAGTGCAAAGTATGTCATAAAGATGAGCAGTGATTCTATTGCAGCCCAGTTTTCAGAAACTCTTAAATTCTACAGAAAGCAGATTTTCTGTTATGTCATTAAATACAACTATTCTCTGAAGCAAAAAGCAATTACCTTCAATAATTCTAAACAATTCTACCTGTGAATGACACTTCAGCAGAAAAATAAGTTGGGGTGTTTTTTTTTTTCCCTTTTAGAGCTCAGGCAGCGAAGCCTTGTATTGTTTTCTTTGATGAGTTTGATTCTATTGCTCCTCGCCGAGGTCACGACAACACAGGAGTTACCGACCGAGTGGTTAACCAGCTGTTGACTGAGTTAGATGGTGTGGAAGGCCTGCAAGGTACAAATTCACCTGTGAACTCCTTTTTGTGCAGAAATTTAGCAGATGTTAATGGCGTTTTTCTGCTCTTTCCTAAGGAGTTTATGTGCTTGCTGCTACCAGTCGCCCGGATTTGATTGACCCTGCTTTGTTAAGGCCAGGCCGACTGGATAAATGCCTGTACTGCCCGCCTCCTGATCAGGTGAGGAAACAGATAATTTCACACGAGAGGCAAGGAAAAAAATCCGACTAATGGGTTTTATTCTTCTTTTCTTTATATGTAGTGGCATTTCAGACTTGGAAAAAGTGGACTTGGTTTCCCAGCTCCAGTTATACAGCACGATAAATTCACTGATTTTAATGTCAATGTGTTCACATAAAACTGGGGAAAGAAAAGGCTGTTTATCACAGTCTTCTGGATCAAGTAATATCCTGTGGATCTAGCTGATTTAAAAAAAAATATTAAAACATAGGGTACTAATATGCAGAAAGAAATTGGATGTAGTGTAGTGTGTACAATGTTCTCCATCTTTCTTTGAAGTATGAGTCCAGTGGATTTGCCATTTGTTTAAACCATAGCCAGTCCTTCGAGGCTGTACCATGTGTGTCCCTGATTCCCCATTTTATGAGAAAACATTAGTGCTGCTTATTTTCAGATTAGTTCACACATTTACCAAATACCACCACATCATTTCATTCCGAATAACATGTGATGATCCTATACCTTAAGAGCATAGATATACTCTTTTTTTCCCCTTTTTTTCCTTTTTTCCCCTTTCCTTTTCCTTTTTATTATTTTTTTTCTTTCTTTCTTTTTTTTTTTTATTTTAAACTTCTGGTTTACAGTAAGATCATTCAGGTAAGCAGAAGCATTTCATTTTCATCATACTTTTCTTTACAAAAGGACATATAAGGATATATATTATATATATTATTAGATTTATTTTTATATATTTCATATATAAAAATCCCAGCTATTTGATACACTAGAGAAATATATTCTCTGTATATTACATTTATTTAGGGTAGTATCTTTCTGGTATTAGGGTAGTATCTTCTTGAAAAAATATCCTTCCTCCCTCAGAGAGGAAGTGGCTGGTGACAGAGCCAAAGCACTGTCACACAGTCAGGACAAGGAAAATAACAGGTTGCTTTACTGAATTTTTTTTCCTTTTTTACAGGATTCACGCTATGAAATCTTAAAAGCTCTCAGTCATTCTCTGTCCTTGGCAAATGATGTGGACTTTAAGGATTTGGCAGCAAAAACAGAACAGTTCACAGGGGCTGACCTAAAAGCTTTATTATACAATGCCCAATTAGAGGCAATACATACTAATTTAAATTCAGGTTTAACACAGGTAAATAAAACTGATATAAAAGAAGTCTCTCCTGTTTATTTTTATGTTGATATATTTGAAAGAGTTAATTGTATCAATGGGGTTTTTTAGCAAAATTTAGCCAAAAAAGTGTTTTCTTACATTTTTATACAGAGGATTAACATTTTAAAATGTTTGCAGAAAAAGACAAGAATAATGTAATGAATTGGTTTAAATACTTCTTAAACACAAGGTTTTTCTCATTTAATGATAGGCATTTTTTGTTAAATAGATACATGTAAGCCCAAATGTGTTATCACAGTTGTGAGGGACAGCTAACAGACTGACAGGAGGGATCCCACACTGAATTTCTTAGGAGCAGATAGCAAATTCAGTTTTGAGATGGCGCATTTTGGCTGATGGAGGAAATGAGAAATTGGTGGGTTTGGGGGAGTTGTTCCAGCAGATTGGGTTTGACTGAGGTCAGGAGAGAAGTGCAAGAGGATAGCAATGTCTGAAATGGCCACCTCTGCCTCATCTTCCAGGCACCAGCTTGTACTTGAACTTCCAAAGTGCAGGATTCCACCCTTGCTTTGTACCCTTCACGTGACTGACAGATCCTGTCTCTCTTAGCCTCTGTTCAGCCACCTCTTCACATTTTTAGCACCTGTCCTCTGTTTCTAGCTGGAAAGGAGCAGGCATGACTTCCACTACTCAGTGGCCAAAGGGAAGGGTTGAGTCAGGGGTCCAAAATGAAGGAGACCCTCTTGAATTCTTTTAGCCCCAGCTGTTACCAAGGAATTGGGCTCTGAGGATGCGATCTCCAGCATGTCTTCCCTAACACTCCCTTCACTTGTAGCATAAGTAGTTGATACCTCATGGTTATCCATCATAGGAAGAGATTGTTGTCTGAAGCAGTGGTCTCCAGACTGCTGTGCGTACACTCCAGAGAGAGCATAAGGCAATCCATTGATGTGCAGGAAGAAAATATTAGAACTTCAGTGGTACATGTATATAATTTACAAATAATATCCATATGCTTGGTAGTGTACACTCAGAAATTTTTGACTGATAGAGGTGTACAATCAAAGAGGTTTGCAAACACCAATCTAAAGCAGCAATTCTGATTTACACATCAACGTTTTAGTGTGTTGGCTATGACTAAAAATGAGTACAGCAGTTAAGCACTATAAAAGTAGACTGACTTCAGCTTTGTAGAGCATTTTACACAAGATACTAATTTGCTTAGGGGGGTAAAGTTGAGACAGAAGTGGTACAGTTCTACAACACAACACACACGTGAAGTTTCCCAAATTTGCTGTTACTGAGAGTGTGAGGCACTGAAAACAATAAAACCTTAAAATTATCTCCTGAAACTATTTTTTAGCATGAAGACAGAAAGTTCTTAAAGGTATTAGGTTTTCTTAGCAAAATATTTGGAAATATTTGGAATATTTGGAAATATACTCCAAGAGAAAGACAAATGAGTACTAGAGTCAAATGTAAACTGATATTCTCATTTTCACTGTATATCAAATGTTTTCATGTATTTCCGATTGTAGTTTGTTATGAGTTAACTCTTGTAATGTTCTGTTCTTTGTCACAGGATTTTGGATCTAGTTCTGATAGTGACTTCAGTCTCTCTTCCATGGTTTTTCTAAACCACAGCAGTGGCTCAGATGATTCAGTAATAGATGGAGAAGCGGGGCTAGAGCACTCTCTTATTTCTTTAGACATGTCTGACTTGCTTCCTGAAGATCCAAGGTCCAACATGTATCGTATTTATTTCGGAAGCTCTTATGAATCAGAGCTGGGAAATGGAACTCCTTCAGAACTGGTAAATTATTCACTTAATGTTTTGAATTTTCTAAATAGTATTAGTTGAGAATCAGGGAAAAACACCATTTTCCTGGTTCAGTTTATAAATACAATTATGTCTGCTTTGACTTTCAGACTGTCTTCAAATTATACTTCATAGTCCACAGGGAGGAAGGGGATGGAAAGATATGATCTGAGAAAATACAATATTCTTTGCAACCTTGCAGGAGTTTAAAATCAAAATCCCAGAACAGTGCTTAATTACCTTATAATTAAGCAAATTGCATTCATACTAGATTTTACTCTCTGGTCAAATGGCTTGTTCCCTTACAAAATTTTTCACTAAAACAGTTCTCAGCTTTTTGGTGGTTGATTTGTCTGTTGTTTTTTCTTTAACTTAATTTTATTACTAAAGAGTGACAACCCAGCCTTCAAGAATTAAGTTACAGTCTCAAGAATCAATGAACCTTCTTCAGTTCCCAATAAAATGTGCATTAATAGAATAATCAGACTATGGAATTGTGAAAAAGACCAGAACTAAAGCTTAACTTCCATCATTGTCTTTAAGAAGCAGAATTTCTGATGTTTCATCATGTTGCATATGCACATGCAGAAAGCAGCATGTTCTCAGGCTAGTTTGAAGGTAGGGATGTGCAGGTTGGCTGCCCAATAACTGCACAGTGATCAGCTCCTCTCTCTTGGTTGGCAGGTCAGCAGAACAGGGTATGCTGCCTCCAAGCTCCTTAGAGCGAACACATGATTTCAGAGTTTGTGTGTGATCCATGGGAAACTTATTTTCAAAATGAATTTCAGTCTGTTGTAGAACTGTTACTACAAGTAGTAATCAAAGTCCTTAGACTCTTGTTTTCAAAACTGTCTTGCATTGATTCTTAAAGCCAAAAATAACTTAACTTGACATTAGAGAAGTAACCACTGACTGCCAAGGTGCTTTGGTATATTTTATCTTGCATTATGGGTGATAATGTTCAATTAATGTAACTTTAAAGACTTACTTTTCTTCTGACTGAAAATTCTTCAGCAAGGATTCTACGAGGACTTTGATCTCTTAAAATTGTTGAACTGGAAAGGTGCTTATCAAGTGCACAGAGAATTTGGAGGTAATGAATATTTAAATTCCAAAGCTAACTACATAAACTCGTCCAGATGTCAGAACCACTGATTTTCTGAAGTAATTAAAGCAATGGACTTAGCAGACTTTTATTCTTTTTTAGATGGGCCATTACAAAAATGCTTACTTATTTTCCAGACATGAAACACTTCATTTTCAAATTTGGCCTTTTGCCCGAACATTTTGGCAGATTAATTTAAGTCTTTCTGTTAAAAAAATTACTTATGTAATATATCTTAAAGAGAAAGTATCCTTTTGACAGTGGAGGCAAGCTTATATTGAGTTGTAGGCTAATTCCTAATAATGGAGTTGCTCCTTTGGATCCATAATGAGTTAATGTATTTCCTTTTGTGATCAATTTAGAGCTCTTTGTGTTTGTCCGGTCCAAACTCCATAACTTACGACTTTACCAGCATGACTCAGAGAGATGTTGCACCCTCACAACCTGCAATGCTTAGAGCAGCTTCTCAAGAAGGGTCTCTGGAGAACCAGGAGCAGCAAGCAGAGCACCTGAGGACAGAAATCAATGCTAGCAAAGCCAATTGCAGAAGCAAGAATGGAGTATGGCACTTTTTAAAACTATCATTTAGTCTTAATACTTCTTGTTTTTCCACACATTTTGGTATTTCAATAAGTAATTTCTGCAATAATATTAAATACTTGCAACAAAAGTATCAGAGATAAGTGATACTTAGTTTGAGGAAAATAAGCCAGATGTTAGCATTCATATAATTCAACAGTTATTTCTGTTATTTATTAATATGGAGGGGGGAAGGTTGTGACTGTATTTTTAGTACATTTGTCTGTACATGTAATGGGGAGGTTGCATAGTTAAAGATATTGATGGCACTGTGTTTCTGTAGAAATTTCATTGTCTTTGCATGGCTCTCTTTTCAAGGAGGACAGCACCCTTAATCAGTCAGTGCTTCCCAAGACCACTTTGACTATTACCCAGTCTCATCTGATAACTGCTCTTCAGGGTATGAGACCATCCATTAGTCAGGACGACTGGAAGCATTTTACTGAACTGTAAGTATTTTTTTGTAATTTTGAATTCAGTGGAGATGTGGTCTTGCCACATTCCTTATACAGAAACACAATAGTTTTAAATAAATGTGGGGACTGGCAGCAGATAACTGATAGCTTTTGACATCAGTTTTTAAAGAAATATTATGTTACGTAGTGGGAAAGGGAAACTATTTTACCAATTTTTTTTTATTCATGTAGGACCTAGAAATAACAGACCAGAAACTTCTGGTATTGTTTTAAGAGCTATAGCAGTACAAAGAGGCTCTTTAGTTCTAGGTCCTTCCTGCTTCCACTTAGTAGTAGCTTCTTGTATTTTCAAATTGCTGGAGTTTGGCCCTCTGTAGTCATCTTAGTGGTCTTTGTAGTTGCTGTGTTTGGGAAGAGCAATAATCTGTAGAATTATAAACATGTTGAAAAGGAGAATGTGTCTCCTTGGACTTGGAGATCAAAAAGCTGAGAAAAAAAAAGGAAGCAAGGGCAGTGAGCTCTCTGAGTTAATTTTGTGGATATAATTCCTCCAGGTCTGAGGAGACAGGCACTCTTCATTTCCATAAACATTTACTTAAACATCTGCAGTTCTGTAGTGCATTAATACGCATCTGAAGAGGCAGACACAAAAAACATACTTCATAAGAATTTGGTTTTTTTTGTTTGTTTGTTTCCAGGTATGATAATTTTCAGAATCTCAAGAAGAGGAAAGTACAGATTGGCGCAACATTCAGACCAGGACAAAAAATGACTCTCGCTTAGTAATCTGTATTTGCTTGTAATTGCTAAACTGTAACTGGACATGAGAGATGTGATTAAATCAGATTATTTATATTCATATGGATTTATTAATGCAGCAGTTGAAGATGTTTCTTTTAAACTAACATTCTGTAAAATTATGTCACATTTTATTTTGAAGAAAATTGTCCTCCTTTAGATTGATATTAAATTTTTTGAGAGAACATTGGTTATGTTCTGTCCCGTTGTTTATCATATAAACTTTTAAATTTTAATTTCCACAATCTAACAATGATTTCCTGTCCCTGATTACTCCCTCACAACAAACAGAAACTGTTCAAATAGACTGTAATATTAATGGGGGATATGTTTTTAAAATATTCTATAAAGCCATTCTCTAATGGCCTTCGGAGGGCTTAGATGAGGGTGGTACTTCATATGTATATTAGCAGGCAACTAGACTAATACTTCCAGAATATACTTTTTCAGCTATAGCAGGAAAAAACAGACCAAGATACTTGCATCTTGTTTTCTGCCACCGTTTGTTAATCAGAAGAATACCAAATTGCATTTCACAACTGCGCCTTCTTACCCCTACCTTTTCTTCCCGGAGACTGCTAAAAATATTTCAGATGCTTGGAAGTTTTCTAATGTTACATCCTGAAATTATTCACAACGACCGTCTTCCATGGAGATTGTTGAAGAGTTGTGTTCCTTAACTGATACAGAGATAACCAGGTCTTAACACAAGGAGGGGGAAGGAAGGAGGAGGCAGGAAAGAAAACTGGAGATGTTTCCCATGAGTCTATTTGACCTTTTCACAGCATTTCGCTTCCCCTTCAAAATAGTCTTCATCTCTAAGGCAAGGAAATACTATATTACCATCATTTCAAATATTTGCATTTGAAACTTCAGCACAGTTAATTTCACTGATTAGTTCTTACAGTTTCTCAGGTGCCAATAGGAATTTTCACTTAGTCTTTCACCTACTGCCTTAAAGATTTTTCAGTCAGGGGTTCTTTCCTACACCCAGAGCTACTATAAGAAGGTGGTCTTCCAGCTCTCTCCTTGTCAAAATTGTTTAAAGAACAATGTGGTTTATTACATCTTTGCTTAGTAAAGAAATCTTCAGATATTACAAAAACATCTGATTAGCCAAAATTAGCAGCAGCATCTGCTCTTCAATGTTGGTCTAGATAATGATTGTACAAGATTCATTAGAAAAGGAAATTATTTAACCTTCCTAGTACTGATAACCTCATAATGCACTGATACTTAACTCTGAAAGGACCAGTCACAGGCTAATTGTGACAGGCTAATTGTGATGGTAAAAAAACCAATTCCCTAGATTATTGTATTGTCCTCACACTGGGAGTCATTTATTTGGAATAAGCCAAGTATTATATTGCAGAGTTAAAAAGGAAAGTTTGCTATATGCCAAGGTTTTACCAGTCCTCAACCAAAATTATATGCTACACTATCATGGAAAATGTTCTTAAAACCCAGGAAGCCTAGGTTCCAATTCTCTGTTTTTCTTCCTTCCTCTATGCAAAGAATTTCACCAGTGAACGAGCTCAATGTTAGTTCAGACATTACCCTATATGCATAACCTGGATGATGCTGTGGGGAGGTTCGTGTGAGCCAAGGTTACTGAATAACTACCTGCTGTTAGGTGATCTTTGGTTACATTCTGACTTGCATTGACATCTTACCTTGGAAGGTAGTAGAGAATGTAAATGAAGCCTAGCTAAGATCTGTTAAAAGTTTGGTGTACAAGGAGTATTAAATCTGTAGCTCAGAGGAGGATAATCCCTTCTATTCAAGTGCTGTGCAATGAGGATCAGGTGGCCCGTGGAGACTCTTGCACAAGGCCTGGGAGGGAGAGGCCCTCCAAGAGAAAAAGGACTTAATGACCTTTCTTTCACATTCTGTAGGGCAGTGGGATTTAGCTGCAGTGGCTCATGATGATAGCACAGACAGACAAGCAATGTGTGCTGTGTTTGACCCTGTTTTCCTCCATCAAGAGCTAAACAAGCTCTGTGAAGCAGCAACCTAGAGATGCACAAATCCCGTGCCTCCCCACTAGGTCTCCTGTCACTCCTACCTCTCTTACGGGATAATGATGTCTGTTTTTCTGGGTACATATTACTGCCCTTATAAAGGTTTGATAATCTGGGGTAGCCTTTTTCTTTCACTTCTGTTGTCACCAACATTGTCAGCTGACACTGATCTGTCCTTCACTGCCTCCCAGTCTTTCCCCATAGTTGAAGGACTTCTGAAGAAACAAGTTTTAAACATAAATGATGTAAACAGTTACCCTGTTTCCAGTGTGCAAGGGGTTCTTTAAATTTGTTAATAGGAAGTTGGTTTCCACTACTATTCAATACATTATCTTAAAATAGATTCTATGTTTGAAGCTATCTTCTTTCAGCTGGTTAGCTGGTATTTTTTTCAAACGATGCTTTGGAAAAACGTACCTGTTTTAAAAGTGGTCTGTCATTCTGGACTGAGTATTGACTGGAAAGAGTTTTGGAGGAAAAAAAGTGAGGCAGCAGGTCAATTCTGTTAAATCCTAGTTTAATTGGTGCAGTTAACTCTACTGAGAGGCTTTTACTGAGAGGGAATCTGGTAATTCCTAATGACGAAAATCTTACAGACTTGCTTTTCCAAGAATTGGGGACAGTGGAGCACATTAAATCCCATCCAATCTGTTGAGTCCTTTTAATGGTATTCTGCCATAAAATCACATTTATTCTTTTGGAAACAGTATTTCTGGTGTATAGTAAAAATTTCACAAGGTCATTTATTGTCTGATTTCTTAAGGAATCAAACTTTGCTCCATTTTCATAGAGAAAAATGGAAAAGATTTCTTAACCCATTTGAAATTAACTTAAAAGATAAGCAACATCTGTGGAGGCTTGAATTACTTAGCCGTAAGTTTCATAGAATATGTCACCAGCTAGAACTCTGCTTGACAATATTTTAAGCATGACAGTTAGCAGCCTAGTTAAAACATTAATTTTTATCATTTATATTAGGTTTGAGATGTACTTCACCTTTTAGTTCACCAAACAAGTTTAAATTTCGTTTGAACCAATGTGTGCATCTAATGTCATACAGGAAGTTTCTCCATCCCTCTCTTGTGGGATTAAGGAAACATAGTCAATTTCTAGAGACTAAAAGCAAACAAATAATTTCAAATACCATTTCAAACAAGAGCATTGTATAAGCTTGATTTTTTCACAGGCTATTTTACTCAAATTAACAGGGGATATGTGTGTATACACATATATATAATTAAAATAATAATAATCCTACTAATATAATTTAAAATTTTACTTCCTGACTAATTTATTTAATAACTCCTAGTCATTGTGCAAACAGTAAAATCCATGCATGCTGTATTATTGCATGAGGATCTGACTCCTTGTTTATTATTTAATAGCTCCTAAGATCATGCAGTAGGGTGGGAATGAAGCCTACTTTCCAGAAGTTAAGACAACAATCATAAATCCATAAGCCGTGGAGGAACTTTGAAGAGACCAGAAGCAGAATAGAGTTCTTGCGTGAAGTCAGCAGATATTTGCAGAGTTAGTCCTGTAGAATGAAGCTGGGAGACTGGATTACAATTTGTCAATGTCAACTGACAGGTAAGGAATCACTTCTCTCTCAGAAGCATCATTTGGAAATAACCCATTTACAGCCACCATTTGAGAAATCTAGTTTTAAGGTTCAATTGCTTAAGTTTACCATTTCTAAAATAGTCCAAATAGGACCAATCTGTCTTAGGTACAGTGAAATGAAAATCTGTTGACTAAGGTTTAGCCTGCTGTTGCAGTGATGTCTAGGATTAAATACTTTCAGATGCTCAGGCAGTAGTAGAAATGCTAAATCAGTTTGCTGGTGTTCAGGTCACAAGTATAAGTCAGATTAACAGAAAAGAAGTGAGAAAAATCAATCCTCTCTATCCTCTAACAGCAGGCAGGGCTTTTGGAGGACTTCCATGTACGTGGCCTTCCTGTAATGTCCTACAGCAGCAGAGTCATGTCAGCTGCTATTAGATAACCAGGGCAGATTTTGCATCTCTCAGCAGTGCTGTCCCACACCAACCTCCAAAAGTCTTTAATAGCTTGAATTAGTTGAAATTATTTAGTGAAGACTGATATCTCAGAGACAAAGCCAGTCTGGGACTCCTGGGTGCAAAAAGATGACCTCTTTGTTCATTGTTTACACAAAACCAGCCCTTGGGATTCTGCAGGAATGATTACTACCCTATGTAGGCACAGCTATAGCACAGTATGGAGCTTGTGGAGACCCAGGGTGGACACTCACATTGGATTTTGATACATCAAAAATTACTAAGGCAATGCAGGTGTTGGACACTTTCCCTTGTTTCCAGAGATCAGCTACTTTGTAGAATAAAAAGCAAAGAATAAAAACCGAAATGTTTGGAACCACGCACAAAATGCTGTCATGTTAAAATGCCAAGTTATATAATTCCAGCATTAGCATTGGGAGGATTAAAACCATCCACATGGTTTTATGCCTGTTTTCTCTTGGGAAGGTAACTGGGTCCTTCAGATGAACTAATTGCAGATTCAGTGCTAATCTCCACTTCCTTAATTATTGCCAAGTCTCAGGAAATAGTAAAAAATAAAATTATTTCTTAATAATATATATTACTTTAATATAATGCTTGTATATCGCCAAAGCACTGCTGGCAAAGCACTGCAATTTTATAACTAGAGCATCGTGACCTTGTTTAGATACTTAAAGGCTACAACAGGAGCTATTTGGTGGTTTAGTCTTTTAGTGTTCGCCAAGAACTGTGTCTTATCCCATTTTCTAATGGCCATTTTTCCAGTAGCTAAAAACCTGCTCATTTTCTAAATGTCTAAAAGACATTTTTTTTTACTTTTAAAAGATCAAAATGTCCTTCATTAAGGACAGATTTAAAACATTGATGTAGGAAAAAACCCACTTGAAGTCAGTGTACTGAAACTTGTTTTTTCTATGGATCCTAGGGAGATAAAGGTCTTGGCTTCCCTTACATCTGCACTGACACCAACCCATCTTCCCATGTTTAAGTGATTGGATCTCTTTGTCCTTCCCCAGCAGCTGTCCAGCATGGCAGGTCCTGCTGACTGAGCCATGTCTTGGTGAGGACAGTGGGTCTAAAGCAGAACTCTTGCAGCAGGGAGCAGGCAGAGTGCTCGGGTGGCATGAGACACACAGGGTTGTTCCTCTCTGTCCTTAAGGGATGCAGGGTCCCTGTACTATGGAGCACAAGGAAAAGTCAATCTGTCCTAAGGGGCCATGGTTGGGAGCCACTGCAGAGCCTTCCCGGGGTGCTCCTTCCCTGAGCAGCTGGAGCAGGCAGGCAGGCGGAGGGAGAAATGCTTATGAGAATTGTTAATTTCATTTCTTAGTGGTTTTAAGTGAATATCTTATTCCAGCTCCCTGCTATGGTGATATGAATTCCAGAAAAGGCTCTAGGGTGGAATACATCCTCTTCACAGGCCCTTTTTTGGTGGAATGGAACTTAAGCCATTCACATAGATAAACAGACATTTCCAGGGAACAATCAGACAAACCTGAAATTACAACCCGAGGCCAAGGGAAGAGATGGGACCTGTGCAGGGCTTTTTGAGACAGCCCATCATTTTC